GGGAGAGAGAATACAGTCATAATTCATAGGTACAACATAGGCTTGTCATAATTCATAGGTACATCTTGGACTTGTCATTAATTTATAGGTACAGCATAATCTTGTCATAATTCATAGGTACACCTTGGCCTTGTCATTAATTTATAGGTACAGCATAGGCTTGTCATAATTCATAGGTACATCTTGGACTTGTCATAATTCATTGGTACATCTTGGACTTGTCATAATTCATTGGTACATCTTGGACTTGTCATAATTCATTGGTACATCCTGGACTTGTCATAATTCATGGGTACATCTTGGGTTTGTCATAAGTTATATGTACAGCATGGACTTATAATTATTCATCAAACTATAATTCGGTTGGGTTTTTTTAAGGACAAGCGGGCTAATCCAGATTTCGGGGTTTTCCAGATATTTTGACATTCACCAAAAGTGGGGATCGCCTACCTATAGGACAAGTTTGGTTTCATTGGTGTGTATATTTGTTTCGTTACAGAGAAAACTATCCTTGTCTTTTAATGAAACTGAACAAGGGGCAAAAACTTTACCTTCAAATTTCTCAAAACAGCATTTTTCGGGATAGCCCCCTTGTGCTTAATAGCGACCATTTGTCCTCACCTCTCGGCGAGCCCGTGCGGAGTGAGCTCGGAGATAACGATGGGGTCCTGGGGGTCGTCGGTGCCGGAGATGGTGATGCCGAGCGGGCCCCCGTGTCTGTGCAGTTCCACCGTGTACACCACGCAGCCTTCGTTGTCCTCATCTGCCACCACGGCAACGACACCCAGGGAGAAAAATCATCATCAGAATTACCTCATGTTGTCACTCATAATAATCATTGCAAAGTTCACTGCCTGACTATTTGTTTTTTCATAGAAATATGTATGCACAAAGTTAGGTTACCCCTCCCCCGGGCAGTGCTACTGATTGAATTGTCTTTAGGCCATTCCCAAAGGGGGTATATTAACATGTTCTTATGCACAGTAGAATAGTAAATGGGCTGATTCATCGATGTCTTGCTCATAACTGTGCCTGAACTGCAATGGGGAACTGCAATGGGGAACTGCTGCTTTTTTCTTTTCTAATCCTTATTATTGTCATTTGTCCTGTACTTCTTTTGTATGTTTGTCACTCTCTTGTGGACTGCTATTTCCGGGGTGCCTTGATAGTCGAAGCAGACTTTGTGCTGTTGAAGCTAGAGAGGTGAGCAGAGTAAGCCTGATTCCCTGTATGGACTTCTCTGTTGACATCCACCCCTTGGTGCTCATATGACCTTATGCAGTTGCGAGCGCCATAAAAACTTTACTAAAACTTCTAAAATATACAATTTATGACTAATCTTAAATTTGTGATGTTCCTTTAATTGCAATGTGCATAATTTTTTAAGAAAATGGAAATGGTCAGCATGAACGCTCTTTATAATTTTTATTAGTAGTAGTAGTATTATCTAACAACTAATGTTATCATTATCATCCAAAAATTAGGATCACCATCACCACCACAACCACCATAAATATGATGAGCACTGGCTCTACATGCTTCACAAATACATGAGCAACACATAAATAGTACACTGTGTTCTCATAGAAGTCTCTCTCATTATATATATATATATCTCTCTCATTAATCTAAAAACAGAAATGACTTTTGCTGACATTTTAATGAACAATAAAAAGATTTGATCTCTCTTAAACTAGTATCACCACCACCCCCAGCCCCATTACCACCAC